TTTTTTCTTTTTCCTTTTTTTTTTTTTTTTTTTGATTTTCTTGAATATCGTGAATTGATTTACAGTCATATTTCAAGGATTGATCAATGACCTCTTTATCAATTCGTAATAGAATGATGGAGAAGTAAGAACGTTTAACTGATTAATTAATCATGAATTATTAAACTATCAACTCAAATAAATATGTTAAAAAATGAGTATATTTTAGATATCATATAGTTTGCTAATGAAATGATTCCTTTTTTACTTTGTGTGTGTGTGTACGAAAAGAAGGTAATGTGGAATCGACGCCATTGGCAGGGTGGTGGGGCGAGGGGTCACGGAGGCAAATTACAAAGGGAGGATTACCGGCAGCTGGGCTACCAAGCAACCATCTCTCTTCTGGCTCTTGCTCGCGAGCCATCCATGTCGTTCGAGAGCTCTTTGTCCTTCGACGCATTGGTAACATAATTATCGGAGTTATAGCAAGCCAAAACCCAAGCCGCATCTGAAGGGGTCGCCCTCGGTTACGAGCTGACACCGCGTGCACCAGTGGACCTTGCTCTTAATTTGCAACACGTTCTAAACGTCCTGGTTTCGAATCCTCTGGCCGAGGGTCGTGATTTATCGAGTTTAGGAAATATTTACAAGATGAACTCGTAATACTTGTAATACTTAAAAATACTTGATTGACTTTAAATTCGTTCGCGAAGGGTAAAAGAAATTTCTTAGTTCTGAATTTAAAATGTTTTTACGAATATTAATAATATATATTTTTACAAAATTATCTACGAAAGTTTGATCATTAAGGAGACGAAAGAGAAATAAGTATCGACAAATATTTTTAATTATTTTTAGATAATATTTTTTAAAGACATAATTCAATGAAATAACGAATTCGTATATATATATTCAAATACAAAATAAAATTCAATTGAGGAGGAAATAAATATCATCGTTCAGATTTTGCATTCTTCATATACGTTTAGAACAGAACATACAGAAACCTTAAATGCGAATCTGGCGAAAATTTCATTCGAAATAATTAATTCTTCTACCGCCATCTGGCTCGTTAAATCTCACATGAAAAGCAATCAGACCATATACGCACACTTTCCAAGTCTAATTACCTTTCCAACTCGATACATCGAGTATCTAATACTCGAAACAGACTTTGCATACCTGTGTTTCGCAACAACCCGATTTGCCGCAATCGCCGTGTCACGTTTTTGCAACTCGTTCGAACTCGAGGACACACGCAGACAACGAAAACGTAGGGTCGAACGTTCATTGTTCGAACGGTGAATGTCTATTTGTGACGAAATTGTGAAAGGAGAGTTGAATATCCGCGAATTCGCGAATCACGCGATTGATAAGAAATCACGATCACAAGAAACAGATAGAACCTAGCCCATCGTGAGAGTGGATTTAGAAAACTTTTTATTAATGATCATAGAAAGGTAGGATATTCGTATTGAAGGGTGCGAATCCAGCCCAGGATTTGTCGAGCTAATGTCGTTGCTCGATTTTTCCATTGGGAAGCGGGAGAGTTAATAACTTTCATAACAAGATATAGAAGAAACGTGGGAAACGGGTTGCGGTTCGCCAATGTGTTCCAATAATTGCGCTTAATCCTTAGGGTCGCGGCACGCGGCCACCAATCGCAGGCAAATCCATGTCAATCCACTCCGTTCCACCCTTTCTTCGCTTCAAGTTCAAGGTTCCATCAAATTCTTTTCCTACGTTCGAATTATTGTAAGATTATTTGAATAATTTTCATTTTTAATAAAATTCAATATGACAAAATTTCACACGACGATTTGTTCCTCGCGATATTATATTATATAACATATATTGCGATATAATGGAACTCTGGCGAAGAAAAGAAAATATGAAGAAATTTATTTCCACATAATTGTAAAAATAATTTCCTAGAGATTTTATATATTACTAATTTAATTTCTGTTTTAAAATATTACTTAAATGGTTTGAAACACGTATTACGTAATATCGCTTTATCAGAAAAGAAAATCTTAATTATCCACTTATTATATTATCAAGATCCACGAGTATAATATTCATCTGTGCAACAGAACAACATTCCAACTTTTCACTTAAATAAATGTGAAAGTGAATTACACGTACGCGTGTAATGCTCAAATGCCTTTTATTTATTTCGAGAATCTCTTAGATTCACGGAAATTAGTTCGTTAAATAACTCAATAAACAAAATTCATAGAGGAGTGAAGGTACAAAAAAAAATAAAACACAGAAAGACAAGAGAAGAGAAGAAAACGCACATCGAGGATGAATCCCGAAACGATACCGATTTCGAGACGAGCCCCCTGACCCTTTTTTTCAGTACCGCGAGACCATTGTGAAAAGAAGCTAGACCGGAAAAATCCAGCATGGCCGACCAGTGACGGGGGCCAATCGTTGCGTGTTCCGTGGCCAGCTGCACATCCCTCTAAGGGGATCCAGATATTTCGACAGTCGTCCCTTCTTCTTCGCTTCCGAGACGCCCTAACTTTCTGATTTTTGCCTTACGAAGTCAGCCATTGTGAACAGACCCGTTTCCCTTGAATATGAACGGGGGCCTCGTGCAGTGCGTGGATCCTTCTTCGTGCGGTCTTAAGCCGAGAACATAACCACCGTTCACAACCTTTCAAATCGTCCGCGCTACACACGCGAGCTTTTTGTCGTCTTAATCGTGCCTTTGGAAACGCGACCATGATGTACTCTGTTTTCGTATGTTGCCAACGTGCTGTAAACGAAAGAGATTGCTCACAATGGCACAATGGAAGGGGAGGAAAATCGAGACCATGGATTTTTCATGTTTGTAAAGGTATCGAAGATACTGGAAGATTATTTATATACGGAAAATTGTACGTGTGTATTTTGGAAATAATAGTCCTTTTCTTTTTCTGGATGAATAAACATTTTATGGGTTATTTTCGATGATTCGAAAAGAGAAATCTTTCGAATTTTCTAATTTCTTATTCTATGAGGAAACTTTGTTCGATTTTTATTTGTATTTGTATTGTATGTCTCCAATATATCAAAGTATTCCAACTTAACTAATTTTTGAATCTAGAATTTTCCCTCTACAAACAAGAACAAAAAGAATATTAGAAAATTATTACACAGTTCTCATATATATAAATCACATTATAAATCAATCCTTTTCTTGTTCCTCTAGAATGCTTCTCTAAAATATTCGACAGGTTTACATCTCGAATCGCCTTCGGATGCACCTGCCACGCCCAACAATCCGTGCTTAGGTTCGGCCAATTTTAACAATTAAAGTCAATAATATCGGGAAACAGATTAGAAGGTGGACGATTATCCTGGCTCTTGGTTGAAGAGAGTCGGTAGTTGGGCTGGAACTAATAGCTCGAGCAATGAGATCCTCCCCCGTTTGTTCTCGGTCCTTTTAATCCGACGACGTGGTTAGCACCACCTAATAAATCCATAACGGCGGACACCTGTGACCGAGTTTTCTCGGCCCGAAAGGATACCGAAATAATGCCGGAAGGGTTCTCGTCTTAGCTGCGCTTTGAACGGAAGCTACATCAGGTGGAACGAGGCTGTGGACCCCCTGCGGCACCCCTTAATGCACTTTCACGTTAGTTAGTACGTTTCGTGCGACTGTTGCCCCTGCGCACGTTCTCCGGAAGGATCATCGAGGAAATCGTT